GGGGCGCCTGGCCCGGCCGCCGTGGTGACCAGCCGTGGGCCTGGCGCCCGCGCTGCCCCCGGCCGAGCACGTTGTCAGTGGCCAGTGCAGGCCGCCCTCCGTGTCATCTGCTGGCTTGTGAGGACCTTGTGTCCAGTGTGAGGGGCGTCCTGCACTCAGGACAGCCTGGGGGCCAGGGGAGGTAACACCCCTCCAGGGCGGTGGTCAGCCGTGTCTGGGCTTCCAGGGGGACACAGCAGGGGGAGGCCCTACAGGGTCAGCGAGTCAGGCCTCCCTGCACCCGCCCGTCCCTCCCCCGCCGCGTCCCCCTGCCCGTCCCATGCTGTATTTGGGGACAAGCCCTCCCCACTCCCAGCTGGAGACTCGCTGTCGTCCAGGTCCATGCAGGGCGGCCGTAGGGACACTGACAGGACAGCCGGCCATGTCTGGAGAGCCGCAGGGGCCCCGCGGACGGCCCGGGGTCGGCAGGGGCCTGGGGCCAGCGCCCGCGTGGGAGGCCGGGTCTGGTATCTCGGCGGGATCAACCCCGTCCCCACGCGGAGGTCCCAGCTGCGGCCATGAGGCAACGGGGAGAACGGAGACAGGACGCCCGGCCCGCCCGATAGGGCAGGACAGGCCACCCAGAGAACCTGGGCGATAGGATCAGAGAAACGGCCAGGGCCCTGGGGCCGGCCCGGCCAATGAGAGCCGCGTCCCCGCCGTGGCCAGGGCCGGGCTCGGGGATCCGTTAGGGAGCGGCAGCTGCCCAGGGCTGGTGTTGCAAGAGGGCTGGGTTGGGCAAGCACCGGGCAGAGGGCCGGCGCGGCCAGGCGCGCTGCAGAGCGAAGCCCACAGAGGGCCAGCCCCTGCCCTGGGGTGCGGGGCTTCGTCCACAGCGGTCACAGCCGCTTGACCCGCAACTGCCTTGGGTGCCGGGATGAACCCCGCCCCGCCATCTTCTCCCAGGACAACACCCAGGGTGCGAGCAGAGCCAACACTGGCCGGGTCCACAGTGTGTGCAGGCAGCTGGGCCTCGGGGGACTCCCGTGTCTCTGCCTCGGTCTCCTCTTCTGGAAACTACATGTGGGAGAAGGAAACAGTTCAAACAGTATGCTTGGAGTCTATCGAGAACATTCCAGAAAGGGCTCCGGCCCCAAGAGAACCGTGCACGGTGCTGACCGTGGGATCAGCCAGCTGTTGGTTCCCCGGCGCCGTGGAGGGCCTGGGCCCAGGCACCCCACCTGAGCCCCTCGCCCCAGCCCGGACCGCTGTGGATGTTTGCTGTTAGTGTAGGGTGGATACGCAGAGGGCTTCCTGCGACATGAATCAGGTGATGAGCACAGTTCTTTGTGCTTTGTCGGTCGTGGGGCCTGAACTCGGGGCCTGGGCGCTGTCCCTCAGCTCTTCAGCTCAAGGCGAGCGCTCCACCACTGAGCCGCCTTCCCAGCCCCGACGGTTCTTTTCTGAACCGTGTCCCCCTCCCCCTCGCTCTCTCCCGGTATTTCCCTCCTGTCACCACCCACAAGATGCACAGCTCATCTCCACGTGCTGTGCCGCTCATCTCCACGTGCTGTGCCGCTCATCTCCACGTGCTGTGCCGCTCATCTCCCATTTCCACGTGCTGTGCCGCTCATCTCCACGTGCTGTGCCGCTCATTTCCACGTGCTGTGCTGCTCATTTCCACGTGGTATACAGCTCATTTCCACGTGGTGCACAGCTCATTTCCACGTGGTATACAGCTCATTTCCACGTGCTGTGCTGCTCATTTCCACGTGGTGCACAGCTCATTTCCACGTGGTGCACAGCTCATTTCCACGTGCTGTGCCGCTCATTTCCACGTGCTGTGCCGCTCATTTCCACGTGCTGTGCCGCTCATTTCCACGTGCTGTGCCGCTCATTTCCACGTGCTGTGCTGCTCATTTCCACGTGCTGTGCCGCTCATTTCCACGTGCTGTGCAGCTCATTTCCACGTGGTGTCTGGTGGGTGCCACCGCAGCATTCATTCACCCTGTTCCAGCTCCACGGCTCCCCTCCCCCCCCAGGCACCAGCAAAGTAACAAACAGGACAAGGGGAAAGGAAAACAAAAAACAGCAACAACGGAGTCCCTTGCTTCCTTTTCTTGGAGTTCATTTCACAAAATAACAATCTGAGGCAACATTTCATCGAGTGTTATTTTATCAGCCCCCAGGGGCATAGCTACTGAGCCTCCCCCAACCACCGCTACCGCCGCCTCCTTCCGGCCTCCAGTGTGAATGTCTATAGAGTCCTATATACTTGATTGTAGATATCCCATTATGCGTGCGTGCGCACACACACACACACATGCACACACACACACATGCACACACACACACGTGCACACACACGCACACACATGCACACACGCATGTGCACACACACATGCACACACACATGCACACACATGCACACACGCACACACACATGCACACACGCATGTGCACACACACACACTAATCGCTCCATGGTGCTTTTTCCTTTTAACTCTGAAGTATTTTTTCTGTAGGAGTTTTTTCCCTTTAGTTGTTTTTCTGCTCTAAGGATGTGGGCGCTGTCGACATCGTCTTCATTTTCAAAGCACACGGCGGTGTATGGGCCGTTCCCTGTGGGGAGCAGTTTGGGGGTCCCCAGCCCACAGCACCAGCCACAGTGGTGCCGAGCCTGGGGCCTCGGCGGCTGCAGACGCCCCAGCGAGGTCTGCGGGGTGCGGGACCAGGCTGCGCGGCCTCCGCAGGCCTCCGTGGTGGCTCTGGGCCTCTGCGGACGAGGCGGGAGGAAGGGGCGCTGTGTCTTCCCCTCCACCTCCACCTCACGCCCGTCCGATGCAGCCCACTTTCTAAGTGCTGAGGCCGGCTCTGAACCTACGGCCGGGGCCATGGGACCGAATCTGTGATCTGTGGCTTGTGTGGCAGAGCGGGTGCAGTTTTTGTTTGGTTTCGCTCTGAGTGACCAGGTGGCCGCGGGGCAGAGGTGGCGTTCCTGTCCCCTTGCGGTCGGCTGGGGGTCATCTCGCTGGCCACAGCTCTGAAGAGAAGCTGAGTGCCTTTGGTGTGGATTTAGGGCACAGAAAGCTCCGCCCCTGGGGCCTGGCCCCTGTTAGCTGCAAAGGGGCGCAGGGGACCGGGCCCCGGGCACCCGTGCCTCAGGAGGCCCCACGGGGCACAGGGCACGTGCTCCGAGCCCTGGCTGAACTGAATGTAGCCACTTCCCCGGCCCTCACCGGCAACAGGCGGGGGGTGGGGGGGCAGGAGGGACTTTGAGCAAAGGGACCCCGACCCTGGATCAGCCAGCGAGCCCCCCGCCCGCCCCCCCGGGCCTGGGGAGGACAGCAGCCCTTGAGGGAGTGGGCACTGCATTCCAGCAGCAGCTCGCTTGGGTCTGGGTTAGGGTGTTTGTTCGTTTTACCAGTGCTGGAAGGTTGGTGTTTGTCTGTGGTGGTACTGGGATCTGAACTAGGGCTTTTGTCCTTCTCAGGCAGGTGCTTTACCACTCAAGCAATGACTCCAGCCCCCAACAGCCACGTTGGCCTGGGAGCCCAGGGCCGGGGACAGGGACACAGCGCACAGACGTGCTTGAATGACGCAGGGCTGACCACCACAGGACCCCATCTCTGCAACGTTCGTGCCTTGGTTTACTGTCTAGAACCGGCATGAATGCAGAGCCTGTGGGCGCTGCCCCAGAGAGGAGATCAGTGCTCACGCGGGTGGGGACCATCACAGCATCTTTATTCAGAGGCCAGGAAGCAGAGAGCCTGGCTGGACCCCAGCAAACGTGACCCTGCGCCCCTCCCTTCCAGGAGACAGAGCCAGGACCTGGGCCTGGCCGGCCCGCTGCTTCCTCCCCGGTGGGGGGAGGGGGAGGCTGCCCCGGCTCTGGCCGGGCTCTGGGGTCGCGGTGCAGGAGTGGGCAGCGGTGCCCCCCTCGCTGCAGCAGGCTGGGCTCAGGAGAAGGTTTGCATCTGCCTCTGGATCCAGGGCACGTGGGTCTGGACGCGAACATAGACCCCGGGAATGTCTGGTAGGGCGCAGCCGTAGCCCCAGCTGACCACGCCCACCAAGGTCCAGGCGCCGGACACCTTGGAGACCAAGGGCCCGCCGGAGTCGCCCTGGGGGAGGGAAAAGAAGGGGAGGCCGGGACTGAGGGGGGGGAGGCAGGGGGGGAGGCCAGGACTGAGGGTCGGCAGGCAGGGGTGGGGAGGGGAGGCCAGGACTGAGGGGGGGAGGCGGGGGGGGGAGGCCGGGGCTTACGTAGCAGGAGTCCCGCCCCTCGCTGCCCGCGCACAGCATGTCGGGCAGGATGATCGTCTGGTCTCGGCGGTGGAGCCAGGAGGCCCGGTGGTACTGCCTCTCACAGAGCTGGTCGTCCACCACCTGCACCTGCACCTGCTGCAGGCGGTATGGTGGGGGCAGGGAGGCTGGGGGGAGACGGGAGAGGGGAGGAGAGGGGAGGGCAGCAGAGGGGGGGAGAGGGGAGGGCAGCAGAGGGGGGGAGAGGGGAGGGCGGTGGTGGCACTGCGGGCCTGGCCCGTGCACGGGTCCCTCGGCCCGAGTCCGCTTCCCCACGCTTACCATACATGCTGACGGCGCCCCAGCCCGTCACCCAGCACCGGTCCCCCGAGGCGAGCTCTGCAGAGCCGGACGGCAGTCTGACGGGCTTGACGTTGGCCGAGCAGTGCGCGGGCTCCGCCAGCCGCAGCAGCGCCACGTCCGAGCCCAGGTGGGCGGCAATGAAGTCGGGGTGGACGATGACCTTGCTCACGCCCAGCAGCTGCTGGCCCCCGTACAGGTACACGTCCCCCACGTGCACCCGGAAGGCCGCCGGGTCCGCGTCCCGCCTGGGGTCAGAAGGAGGTCACGCAGGAGCTCGCTGCCCCGGGGCCCGGCCCGGCACGGGCAAAGGCGCGAAGCCCCAGAGCCCGGGAGCCCGGGGCGGACTCACCGGCGGATGCAGTGGGCGGCGGTCAGCACCCACCGCGGGTGGACGAGGGAGCCGCCGCAGATGTGCACCCAGGAGGCCCAGTGGTAGCTGTAGACCCTCAGGCTGACCTGCCATGGCCACCGCCCCTGGGGGGCGCTGGACCCGCCCACGATGCCCACCAGCTCATTCTTGGTGACAGGTGCTGGAAGCAATGCCAGGAGTCAGGGGACAGGTGCTCGGCCCACTGCCCGGTCAGCCAGGGCAGGGCAAGCACCCCAGGACCCCAGGGACCCCCCATGACCCCAAGGGCCCCCCAGAACCTTGAGGCCCCTCAGGGCCCTGACGACCCTCCCCAGGACCCCAGGGACCCCCCAGAACCTTGAGGTGGCCCCAGGGCCCTGAGGACGGGGTGCACAGGCGTCCCGGGGTCCACAGGCTCAGCAGTGGATCCCGCCAGCAAGAAGAGAGTCAGGCCCAGCAGACTCAGCATCTGCGAGGAGACAGCATGGAGGCCCTGTCCGGGAGGCCCTGTCCAGGAGGCCCTGCCCAGGAGGCCCTGCCTGGGAGGCCCTGTCCGGGAGGCCCTGCCTGGGAGGCCCTGTCCGGGAGGCCCGGCGTCCCCGGAGGCCCTGTCCGGGAGGCCCTGTCCGGGAGGCCCTGCCCGGGAGGCCCTGCCCACGAGGCCCGGCGTCCCCGGAGGCCAGGGCCGCGCACGCACCTTGCCAGGTCCTCACAGGTCTGTCCTCCCCAGCCGCGGAGCCCCTTTATCCTCCAGCCACAGGAAGTGGGCAGGGGGCTCGGCCAGGCCGCGGGCCCGGGAGGAAGTGGCGTGAGCCATGGCCAAGGTGGCGGAGGGCTGACTGACGGGTGGACCCAGGGCCTCCCCGGGCCCAGCCCCACGTCACACCTGTCAGCGTCTGCTCACGGGAAGTTCTGGAGAGAGGAGGGCTGGGGCGTGGTCCGTCCACGCGGTCCCGGCCAGGCCGAGGCCCTGCGCTGGTCCCCGCCGTGTGGGGCGCCTGGCCCGGCCGCCGTGGTGACCAGCCGTGGGCCTGGCGCCCGCGCTGCCCCCGGCCCAGCACGTTGTCAGTGGCCAGTGCAGGCCGCTTGTGGAGACTTTATGTCCAGTGTGGGACCTACACAGACACTGAGGGGCGTCCAAGATCCCCGCCCAGGCTGTCTGGGCTCCCTGGGTCCAGGCCAGCCCTGCCTCGGCGGCCAGCGCTGCCACTGAGGACAAACTCCACGGCTCAGGCCGCTTCCTGTCCCCGCTCAGCGCGCGCTGTCCCCGGGCCCAGGTGCTGGGCGGCCGCCTCTGTGGCTGAGGACACTGAGAGACGGTGGCTCCGAGTAGGCCAGGGAGGCGCCCCCCGGAGGCCTGAGGTTCCGAGCCAGGGCGCGGGGAGCCTGGGCGTGGGGTCCTGCCATGGCCAGGCGTGGGAAGCCGTGGTCAGGCCCGGGGCAGGCCTGGGCTTGGGGAGGCCGTGCGGCCGTTAGCGGCGTCCTGACCGCGTGAGGGCCCCGCGGGGTCTCAGGGCCTGGGCCAGGAGGGGCCCTTGGGAGAAGCTGCCAGGAGCGGCTGGAGGGGCATCCCCAGGAGCCGCCGGGGTGGGGAAAGGCAGTGGGGGTCCTTGTGCCCCGAGAGGGTGACGGGGGACACGTTCGGCGTCCGCCTGCCCTGCTGACCAGGAGGGCGGGCGGGGCCCCACATCCAGGCAGCCTGGAACCTCAGGGCCTGGAGACAGGATACCCGGCCCGCCCGATAGGGGAGGACAGGCCACCCAGGGAACCTCAGCGATAGAATCAGAGAAACGGCCAGGACCACCGGGCACGGGGCCAGGCCTGGCCGGGGAGAGCCGCGCCCAGGCCTCAGGGCTGTGAGATAGGACCGTGGCTGCGGGGTGGCCGGTGTGGCAAGAGGGCCGGGTTGGGAAACGCTGGGCAGAGGGCCAGCACAGGGCCACCGCATTACATCATGAAGCCGGCAGGAGAGAGCCAGCGGTCCCCGGAGCCCGGGGGTGCAGGGGGCTGTGACCAGGCCGCTCCCCCATCCCCAACTGTAACCCAGCTTTGTGTGCCCGTGGAGCACCAGTCCATGACAGACCCGGCCCCTCTCCGTCTCCTGCAGGGCCGAGAAAGCCCTCTGCCCTTGTACAAGGTGGAACGGGGCTGGCTGGCCTGGGGGGCACTGCCGGCCCCTCCTCCACCCTGGACTCACCCCTGCCGGCCCCTCTTCCACCCTGGACTCACCCCTGCCGGCCCCTCCTCCAACCTGGACTCACCCCTGCCAGCCCCCCTTGGCTGCTCTGCCCGGGATGCGAAGTGGGTCCCAACGGCACTTGGATGGAGACTTCAGGTCTGGGCCCCATAGAAGCCACTATGATGTAAGAAGCGCCAAGTCCTCCGGGATGTGCCTGGACGCCCAGAACCTTGGCTCTCATTCCAACATGAAGTGCGTTTGTTTCTGTACCCGTGCTGGGGCTTAAACACTGGGCCTGTGCTGTCCATGAAATCTTCTCAAAGCTAGAGCTCGACCACTTGAACAACAGCACCACTTCTGGGGTTTTTTGGTGATTAATTGGAGATAAGAATCTCACAGAGCCAGGTGCCGGTGGCTCACACCAGTAATCCTACCTACTCCGGAGGCTGAGATCTGAGGATCATAGTTCAAAGTCAGCCAAGGGCAGGAAAGTCCAAGAGACTCTTATCTCTAATAAACCACTCAGAAAAAGCCAGAAGTAGTCTTGTGGCTCAAAGTGGTAAAGCCCTCGCCTTAACCACAGAGAGGCTGAGGAACAGTGCCCAGACCCTGAGTTCAGGCCCCAGGACCAGAAAAAAAAAAGTCTCACAGACTTTCCTGCCTGGACTGTCTTCAAACTGTGATCCTCAGATCTCAGCCTCCGGAGTAGCTAGGATCCCAGTGTGAGCCACCAGCACCTGACAGAGATAGCTTTTATTGTAAGAATAATGCGGGGCTGGGAAGGTGGCTCAGTGGTAGAGCGCTTGCCTTGCATGCATGAAGCCCTGGGTTCGATTCCTCAGCACCACATAAGCAGAAAAAGCCGGAAATGGCGCTGTGGCTCCAGTGGTAGAGCACTCGCCTTAAGCTGAAGAGCCCAGGCCCTGAGTTCAAGCCCCACCACCAACAAAAAATAAATAAAATAAAATAATAATGTAAATATCTCTGGTTATAGAGAAGAATGTACGGTTAGTATAAGCTCCCCATGCCCCTACCCGGCGTTGGTGGGAGATGGAGATGGAGGGGTCAGAACTCTGGGGGATGCCCGTGGGCACGATGGCTCCCACACAGTCCCGGGCGTGGGTCTCGGCACCGCGGCTCGGCCATGGAGGTCAGGGTCCCCCCTTCCCTGTGCCTCCACTTCTCCCGTGACACAGCCAGCTCCACAGTTCAAATCCCGCCACGCATCTCCTCCCCCTCCAAACCGAGTGCCCGAGAAGGCAAAGACAGAGCAGACGCCAGCAGCTCGCACCTGTAGTCCCGGCTATTCAGGAGCTTAGATCTGAGGATCAGGGTTCAAAGGCAGAGGTAGGATTACGGGCATTAGCTACCAGCCCTGGAGCTGTCACTGCCTTTCCAATCCTTATGCCTTATCTAGTAGTTCCCTGACCCCTGGGGTGGTCTGCAGGGAGCTGGCAGGCAGGGAAGCGGCCATCCCTGTCCACCTGCCCTCACTTGGAGGAGGAGGAGGAGGAGGAGGGGAGGACAAGGAGGAAAAAGCAGGAGGAAGATGAGGAGGAGGAGGAGGAGGAGGAGGAGGGGAGGAGAGGAGGAAGAGGAGGAGGGTCTTACCTTTCACCGTTACCCAGGACGTTTGCTGTGGTTTTCGTAAGAAGACCCCCAATTTTATCAAGAGTTTTATCTCGATCAGTGGAGGATTTATCAGCCAAAAGATCGGGTGCTTTCTCATCTCTGGAGATCTGGGGCCGGGCGGCGTCTCGTTGGTGTGGTGAAATGTTGGCACCAAGCAGGCTTTCTCCGGCTCCCCTGCTGGGCTTCAGGTGCATTTGTTCCGGTGCCTTCTGCTTGTGGGGGCCTCAGCAGGACTGGGGCAGGAGGACCGGATCCCTGGGAGAGGACTCGGGAGCAGAGGCTGTGGGCCTCCATGTCTGCTGCGGGCCACGGAGGAGACACACGCGTGCACACGCATGCTCCTGCATGCACATCCACTCACGCTCGTGTACACATGCGCCCGTGAGTACACGCAGACACAGGTATAACACACACACGTGCGTGCCGCCGTGACGCGTGTGCACCTGCACACACGCAGGTCTGCCCTGCGCCCGCGGGGCTCCGGGGGCCCAGACACCCCCACAGCCAGCTCCAGTCAGCACAAACCACTGCCTCGGTGAGGCCCAGGAACACAAGCTGCAGATGGGGGCCGCAGATTCCGGGGCTGCCTGGCCGAGTGGGGAGCTCCCCCCAGCCCTCGGGATCAGTGCAGCTGCAGCCCCTGTTCCCGGAGCCCCCGGGCCTGGCCTCCCCCTCCAGCCGGGTCCTCCCCGGGCCTGGCCCCCCCCAGCCCGGTCCTCCCCGGGCCTGGCCCCCCCCAGCCCGGTCCTCCCCAGCGCAGACCCCCACTGGCTCCACACCCCACGTCCCGCTGTGGGGCGGCCAGGTCTGTACTCCTGGTACTGACCGACCGGGCAGCAGCCAGCACCCACGGGGTGGACATGGCCCCCGAGCTGATGGGCTGCTTGTCATGTTCTTGGCCGAGACCCTCAGTCCAGTCCCTGGGGTCGGGAAGCCCCACGCTGCCCCCAGGTCAGCCCGGCTGGGGCGGGAGGCACAGCGGCCCCCAGGCAACCGAGGGCCAGAAACACCCGTGGAGGTGGGAGGGCGCTGGGCACCGGAGCACACACGGCGGGCACCCACTCACCGCAGGCCGGCCCTCCAGCCCTGCGCCTCCGTGGGGAGGCCCGGGACGCAATCACAGGGGCACAGCCAGCTCCCGCGTGGCCTGGAGCCTCGCGGGCTGAGCCTCACACCCTCGTCCCGCCCCTCCGCCCTCGATCACAGGGGCACAGCCAGCTCCCGCGCGGCCTGGAGCCTCGCGGGCTGAGCCTCGCACCCTCGTCCCGCCCCTCCGCCCTCGATCACAGGGGCACAGCCAGCTCCCGCTCGCGGGCTGAGCCCCGCACCCTCGTCCCACCCCTCTGCCCTCGATCACAGGGGCACAGCCAGCTCCCGCGCGGCCTGGAGCCTCGCGGGCTGAGCCTCGCACCCTCGTCCCGCCCCTCTGCCCTCTCTAGGTGTCCTCTCGTCCCTTCCTATGAGCTGAGCCGCTCACATGGTCCTGCACGAGCCAGGAAGTCCCACCCACCACGACACCCCCGCCCCCAGCTCCCCAAAGTCAGCACCCACGCCAGTACATCTGCAGACGCCACTTCCAGGAGGTGGGCTGCTGGAAGACCCCCGTGTCCCCAGGAGGGGAGGGGCAGCGGGTGGGAGACGGGCTTCTCCACAGACTAGGGTCTGGTTTCTCAACTTTAAAAGAAATGTCCAAAAAGAAATGTCCTCTTGGGGCTGGGAAGGTGGCTCAGTGGTACAGCGCTTGATTGCATGCCTGAGGCCCTGGGTTCGATTCCTCAGCACCACATAAGCAGAAAGAAAGTGGCGCTGTGGCTCAAGTGGTAGAGCACTAGCCTTGAGCTGAAGAGCTGAGGGACAGCGCCCAGGCACTGAGTTCAGGCCCCACGATTGGACCCCCCCCCAAAAAAAAGAAAGGAAGGAAGGTCCTCTTGCAGGGCAAGAGAGTTGGTGGCTCACGCCTGTCATCCTAGCTACTCAGGAGGCTGAGATCTCAGGACTGCAGTTCAAAGCCAGCCCCGTCAGGAAAGTCCATGAGACTCTGATCTCCAATGGACCACTAGAAAACTGGAAGTGGCGCTGTAACTCAAAGTATTAGAGTGCTAGACTTGAGCTGAAGAGCTCTGGGACAGCGCCCAGGCACTGAGTTCAAATCCCATGACCAACAAAAAAAAAAGAAATGTTCTCATGACCTGATTTATGTCACTGCAAACCCTCTGTACACCACCGCCACTTCCAGTTTACTGGTTAATTGGCGATAAGAGTCTCCTGGCCTTTCCTGCCCAGGCTGGCTTTGAAACATGATCCTCAAATCTAAGCCCCCTGAGTAGCTAGGATGACAGGCGTGAGCCACCAACACCTGGCTATATAACACCTTTATAATAAGAATTTTTTTTTGGTTGTAGATCTTGAACTCTGGGCCTGGGCACTGTCCCTCAGCTCTTCAGCTCAAGGCGAGCGCTCTACCACTTGAGCTACAGCGCCACTTCCGGTTTTCTGGTGGTTTATTGGAGATCAGAGTCTCACGGTCTCTCCTGCCCGGGCTGGCTTTGAACCGCGATCCTCAGATCTCAGCCCCCTGAGTAGCTAGGATGACAGGCGTGAGCCACCGGGGCCCAGCTAATAATAACAATTTTAACAAAGTAAAAAAAGAAATCAGAGAAAGGCAAGCGGTGGGTTTTAATGTTATTATTTTTAATCCTAGCAGTTTCATTGGCCTGCGGTGTGGACCGCACGGTTTCCGGCTTGGGTTACAGTCTGTCTTCTGGCGTTGCGGGCTGCAGCCAGGCCCCGGTGCGTCTGTGGCGTCTGTCTTGCTCACGGTGAATGCCTGTCTTTCTGCCCTCACTTCCTGCTGTCCGGCCCGGTGTCCCGCCCACTTCCCCCCCCACTCCCTTTCCTCGGCATCTTGCACTTTGTGGTCCTTGTTGGCTGGAGACCAGGAGCTCCTCCCTGTGTATCCCCCCAAGCCCCCTGAACCCGTGGCCCAACCCCGGCCGGCCTGGGCCCGGGCCTGGCCCGCGGGGCTGGCCCTGCCGCTCACACGGTCCTGAACCGGCCGGGACTCCCTGGCCGCCTCCTCACGCCGCGCACGCGCGTGTGAGCTCAGAGCCGTCGGGAGGCCGGAGGTCCCCAGAGGGCAGCGAGGCCAGCCCGCGGGCGCCCAGGACCCGCGTCCCCGCCCTTCACCAGCAGAGGGGGCTCTGGAGAAGCCGCAAGGCACCCCGGCCTGGGAATCGGCCTTGGACCCTTTAGACTCGGAACGGCCGCTTGGTTCAGGGCTGGGCAGGCTGACACGGCTGCGTGGCACGTCCCCCGAAGCAGAGAGCCCAGCACTGCGCCCACAGACCCCCATACTGCAGCCAGAGACGCCCGCGCTGCGGCCAGCTTCCCTCCCCTGCGGCTCGGCCACCGCCGCACAGTTCTGGGCACAAAATTCCAACAGAGAGCAAGGAGGCGGGGTCAGGGCAGGTTTAATGGAAGGCAGGGCGGGCGGGCGGG